AGAGCAGAGAGAAGAGCAAGGGCTGGTGCCCTGGATTCAAAGGGCAAGTCAGGCCGGGCTGAGCCCAGAGGCAGGGGCTGTATAAACGCAGGTTTGTCTGTCCAGGAGGTCTGGGGGGACAGAAATGAGGAAGGGCAGGGAAAATCCCACATCATCTCTTCTGGCTGATATTTTCAGTCCAGAGGAAGGGTGAAGGTTGGCATTTATAAGCTATATAAGTAGTTTCAAATATCTGTATATGATAATGTCCATTCAAGTTAAGAAGTGGCCTGTGACTATTAAGTTATTTTTTGGATAGGCACAAAATGTAGGCTGCAGGTTCAGGGTTTAAGAGGAGAGTGTGAACTGCCATCTGGAGGTCTTTTAGGTTCAGGAAAGACTAAGAGACAAAAGATAAGGACTTTAACCTGTTCATCTATTCATCATTCATTAAAAAAAAATTATTAAGAACTTGGTATGATGGTAGGTTCTGTGCTATGCTGCAGATACGGCAATAAGCGAAAAAGCAAAAAGCTATAGACCCTGTCCTTAAGAGTTTCTATGCTTCTTTGTTTTGAGGGTTTTACATTTTATTTATTTTTTAGATTGTGGTATAATACATATAACATAAAATTTACCATTTTAACCAGTTTTAAGTATACAGTTCAGTGGCATTAAATACATTCATAACATTGTGCTATCATCACCACCACCCATCTCCAGAACTCTTTTCATCTTGCAAAACTGAAACTCTATTACCCATTACACACTAAGTCCCCATTCTCCCTTCCTCCAGCCCCTTGCAACCACTATTCTACTTTCTGTCTCTATGAATCTGACTACTCTAGGTACCTCCTATAAGTGGAACCATATAATATTTGTCTTTTTGTGATTGGCTTATTTCACTTAGTATAATGTCCTTAAGGTTCATCCTTGTTGTAGCATGTGTCAAAATTTCCTTGCTTTTTAAGGCTGAATAATATTCCATTGTATGTATGTACCACATTTTGTTTACCCATTCATCTGTCAATGCACCATTTTACATTCCTACCAACAGTGCAGAAGGGTTCCAGTTTCTCCAAATCCTCACCAATACTTGTTACCTTCCTTCCTTCCATTCTTCCTTCCAATCTTCCCTTTCTTTCTTCGTTCTTTCCTTCTTTTCACACTAGCCATCCTAATGGGCGTAATCTATGGTTCTTTGAGACCTCTTTATGCTTTACTGTAGGATTTCCTAGTCTATGGGAGATCCTATGACCTCTGGTGTGTGTATCTGTGTGTGTACTAGTTTTTTGGGAATATTTTTACTATTAGTTCCCAAGCCCCAACCTACCAAGGGTATGTGGCCATGAAAATTATCCTAACTCCACCAAGTAGGATGGGCCTCTGGGGGTGCCCTACACTCTGGGAATAAAAAGGACGGGGTATAGCTGCTAGCACCCAAGAGGCCGACTTCTGAGGGGATCTGGTACTACTTAGAAGGCAGGGCCTCCCTGGGAAACACCTAATGCCTGCTCCCACGGTTTGTGGTAGGAGGAGACACTGGTCCACAAGCCCCAACAAGACCCACTAACGAAGAGAGAGCAGATGGAAAAGTGATGTTTTAGAACAGAGATCAGAAAGGTGGGCAGGATGTAGTAATAACAAAATCATATAATAATTCAAATTACTCTAGTGCTTATAACATTTCTAACATTTTCACTTGTACTCACCTATGTACGACCATGCCTTTGGCTACATCACTGCTTATTGATGGGTGCACCCTTTCTAGCAGGGTGAAACAGGAGAGACGCTGAGTAAGCAGCTTTGCTCCTCTGAGGTTCTATTTATATAGAGACCCACAGAATACCGAAGCTGGAAGGAACTTTAGAGATCCCTTAATTCAGTCTTCACTTCACAGATGAGGAAACTGATGCAGTGGCTTTGGGGAAGGTAGGGTGGAACACTACTCTTCTGTGCTGTAAGTACAAATAACCTGGGAGGTGCTGGAGTTAGAAACCACAGAAATGGTTTTGTGATAACATGATGTGACCCAAGGGCCAATCCTTAATTTACACCCTAGATTGGCTGCTTTCTGATTTTATTTCCACAAAAGCCTCTAGCACATATTCATAAAACATATTCTATGAATATGATTTGCAGACTTGGCTGTCTTATAAATATATATATTTTTATAGCTGGATTTGATTTTTCCTCCATAAATTAAGTGCATAGAAAAGGAAATGGGCTTGTATCATCATCCTATAAAAGGAGCAGGCCCCCAAAGATAGCTATCCTACTTTCAACGTCTGCTACACAGTGGATTGAAATGAATATAAAACCTGGGCAGAAAAGGCCCACGGTGCTGCCTATGTATGTGAAGGTCACAGACAGAAGAGAACGCCCTGTTTTTATGGGCCAACAGTGAGTGTGGTTCTGTGTCAATGCCAGGGCCTGACAATGTCCCTCATTACATGCAGAGTCAGGGCAAGAGTCCCCAGCAGGCCAGGAAGGCCTGGAGTGGGCTTCGAGGATGGGGGAAGGAGCAGCAGAAGGCCAGCAAGCGTCCTTGGATTTGTGACAGCAGTAAAGGATCTTAGTAAGTCCATCACTTAATACGTGGGAAAACGAATCCAAGAAAAGTGAAGGGACTTGCTCAAGACCTTACACTCTACGGTGGCAAAACTGAGAGGAATCTCTATTCTGACTGCCATGCCCTGCCTTTCATACTGGAGAGCCCCCTGCTCTTCTGCTAGGAGCACTTGAGGGAAGACAGCAAAAATCCCGGCAGGTTACACTGAGAACCCTGTGGCAAGCGGCGCTGTGGCCGCGTTACACAGGAACATCGTTCTCCCGCTCCCATTTCTGATGCCAAGACCAAGTGCAGCTTAGTGAGTGAAGGGGCTTAAGGCTCTTCATCTGTAGATGGAACTCAGGGGGTGAGGACAGTTTACAACCATTGTAATGTGGACACCATATTCAGCACATCCCCGGATGCTACACTGAGATTGGCAGTGCATTAAATTACTCAGAAGTTTTAAAAACCATTCCTGCCTTCTGTCTATTCCCTTTTGGCCACCCTGTGAGACTCTGATATGACTGACCCCTTGTTAAGAATCATTGCTCTAGTGAGCCACAGACTGGAATGTGTCATATCCTGTAGGTGTGCTGTGGCGGAGAAAAGTTTAAGGACCATTGATGTAGACCCACAGTAGCTAATCACAGGTCTGTGATCCTCTTACACAGCTGATCAAATCATTTCCTAGTCCTTCTAGAACAATCCTTCTATACCAATAGAAATGCAATGCAAATTACATATGTAATTTAAAATTTTATATTAGCCACATTAAAACAGAAAAAAGAAACATTAAAGTAATATTAATTTAACTCAATATATCCTAAGTATTGCCATTTCGACAAGTAATAAATATATCTTATGATATATTTTACATTTTTCATACTATGTCTTCAAAATCTGATGTGTATTTTACACTTACAGCACATCTCAATCCATAATTAGCCACATTTCAAGTGCTCAACAGCCACATGTAGCCAGTGGCTACCATATTGGACATGTTACTACCCTTGCCTCTCTCATTGACATAAGTTTGCTCCAACACAAATAGAAATTTCTCCATGTTGCAGCCATTCCTACCAGTCTCAGGGCCCTTTCTTTTCAGGTCTAATGCTTCTACTTTGGTCTTTATTCCATCTCAACTCTCCTCCAACTGTCCATTCAGTCATCAAGTAATCATTACCGAGTGCCTATTAAGTGTTGGGTATTTGTGTTAACTGATGTGGGTGAAAAGATAAATCAGACATAGACCCCGACTTCCAGGAGCTCTCAGCTGAGTGGGAAATGAGGGTACATACACTTTGATGAATGCTATACAGAGATACATACAAACGATGCACAGAGCAGGAATGACTGCTTCCTCTGGGGCTTCTGGAAAGCATTCGCACAGATGGGACATTTGGGCTGGATTTTAAGGGATGAGGAAAAATTGTGGAGAGGCAGGGAGAGGTGTTTCAGGCATAGGTAAAGTATATTCAAGACCTAAGCATCATGATCTGCATGGTTGGAAATGGCAGGAGTCTAGTAGGGCGAGAAGGTGGCAAGGAGTGAGGCTGGCGAGGCGAGCTGGGCCTCGACGGCCCGACGACACATCCAGAATTACTGTGGGGTCATTCTCTGAGCAGGGAAATCTTGTGGCGGGTTGTAGCACAGACTGGAGAGCAAAGAAGTAATGAGAGCCTGAACAAACAGGGTGGCGGTATGTCTAGAAAGGAGGGGATGTGAGCACCCAAGTGAATGAAGGGAATGTCAGAGCACTATTTTCTGGAGACAGTCTCAAGATGAGGCATTATGATGGAAGCTGGGCAAAGGGTCTAATAGTTAGGCTTTCCAGGCCCAAACTCACTATGCTAGGAGCTGTATGACCACTAACATGGTACTTATATAGGACCACTACAACCTGTTGTGATCTGAGAGCACTAAATGGCCTCTTTCCCTGCAGGAAATAACAGGGCTCCCTGTGAGTTAATTTAGGCAGTAGGTAGAATCAAGCTATATTATCTCCAGGATTGCTAGGTAAGTCATGCCTGTGAGATGCAGCAGGTGCTGGGCAGCACCTGGCCAGCTCGATCAGATGATGTGATGGCTTATTTGACCTTGAGTTTTTCGGAAGAAGGCTCTGGAGCTCTCAGGTAACAACAGGGCAACAACAACAGGACATTTACTGCTGGAAGGAGGCTCTGAGAGCCCATGGGTTCTCCTTTTATAGATGAGAAAGCTGAGGCACGGAGAGCAAAATGGCTTCAAGGTCATATAGCTTGTAAGTGACAAAGCCAAGAACAGAATTCACCCTTTGTGGCACCAAAACCACAATGAGATGGGTACAACAGGCGCCATGGAGAACTGTTTACCTTTATAGCAAACTCAAGCGGAAAAAGAGAAAGCTAGGCTAGAGACACAGTAAGTAATAAAACTATCTTTGTGAGCGCAAGAGGTTTAGTTTAGTAGCAATAAACGAGGTACTCACATGGTGAATTGTCTACAAAGTATGGGTCGATGTTATGTAGCAGCTCCACTCTGGGGGACGGGCTTCCTTCACTAGAAAAAAGTTTTTTAGGAAAATGTTAATTTCCTCTCTCAAATGGGTAGGAATGATTTTAATATTTCCTTTCCTTGTGCTTACAGGAAATAACAAACCTGCCAGTTAAAAACTTTGTCATGAATTCAGAGGTCTCCAAAATTTGTGGTTGGTGCATCTGTAAGCAGTCATCATTTGTCTACATAACAATGACTAAACATTTACATAAGAATGTCAGCATCAAGCATATGACAATTAAAAAAAAAGTGACTCCTGTGACCCTTTGCAACAAATAATGTGGCTGTACTTAAACATGACCATTCTCTACAGTAGTAAAATGCGAACTCAAATCATCCTATGTAGACTCCATACTGAACACCCACAGGGAAATGAAGAAAGAGCATCTGTCAAGATGGCTGCATCAATATTACAGGTGCAACATGCCTTTTAAATATTAGCCTACATGAGAAAAATTAATGTCTTCCATATCCAAATTTGCAACATGGAACTTATATTTAATACAAATCCATGTGAAATAGCTATACTCTTTAAGATTTTTTTTAAAGTGTACATGCAAATACAACCATGACCTACATTAGTGCTGAAAAGAAACTTGGAGACCACTTAGTACAACCCCTCACATTACAAATGAGGAATGCATATTTTAAGTTACCGGCCAAATGGTGTGTGTGTGACTCTCAAAATAGTGTTTTTAAAAAACTGTGAGTATAAACACTATCAGATGTATGTGGGTGTGCATGAAGTACCCAGGTCATTTTGCTAGTATAGACTCAGCCTTATGGAAGAAGTTGTTAGACATAATTCCAATCGTTGGGAGAATACTGAGGACTACTTGATAATCCAATGAAAAGTTGCAAAGTACTCTTAACACCATTAGATTTGTACACATCTGAATAACCAATAAGGCCACTGATGTAACCAAGAGGCTACATTTTCAGGTGGCCCAATATCCATATCCCAAACTCACAGCTAGTTGTCTACAGCAGTGGTTTGGAATTTTAAGGACCATAAAATTTCAAAAACTCTGGGTTGTGATTGGCAATGTTGTATTTGCCAAGTAAAGAAATGTTAAAACAAAATTAAATTAATTAATTAAAAACAAAACCAAAAAGACTTCAACCACCATCACTATTATTTTATAAATAAATGTAACTTTAACAGCCAAAAAAAGTACAAAGAACACAATCTCAGAATGACAGTCCTTTAAATTGAATACATTTGACTTTAGTATTCTATAAGATTTCCCTGTTCCTCTCTACTCCATAAAACGCACTAACTGGAGAGTGGAAGGGAAATACACAAGGACGCCTGTAGTCCTGGGGACAGCATCGTGGGGGATGGGAGCAGATATGCATATATTCCAGGACTCTTCTCATTTTCTTTCTGAGGCACTTAACGAACTACCTGAATGTCCTGGAGACTGTCAACCAGTCCAAAATGACAGGAACTAGGATTTGATCCCAGAAGCTCTGAATGCAAATAGGGATGATGAGCAAAGAAAATGGCAAATGTGAGAAAATCTAACAGAATGATGATGATGGTGTCTAATTTGGGGGGTTAAAAACAAACAGAGTTAAAATCTGGATAATAATAGCAGGTAAGTCAGGAGGGGAAATCAGAATAAAAGCATTTTAAAGTCTTTGTATTGTTGGGAAAAGGGTAAAGCTGTGGATTAAATTTAGATTTAGCTAAGTAAAATTTGCACGTTAAATTTTTAATACAACTTAAAAACAAATATAGAATTGTTTTGGACTGTAGAAAAACAAAACAAAATTCATTCAATTCAAAACAAGACAAGAAAGAAGGTGTGGGAACCCAAAAATTTCAGGGCCAAGATATTAATTCATAACCACTCCTCTTTAAAAGCAGAGTTCACTGGAATACCCCCAAAGCATTAGGCACAGCTAAATAAAGGATATTTTTCTAATAAAATTTAGAGAGAGTTTATCTGTATATTATGCATTCATTTCATTTTTCCATTATTCAGAAGAGCCACAGATATTTCAAAATAAGGAAACTTAATAAGATGAGATGACATTTTGAACACCAAAGGCTGTGAGTAATCCCAGTGATGAATTATTTGCTGGGAAAAAATCTTCACAGGCAGAATCATCATGATGCAAAGAGGAGCAAAAAAACCAAAACAAAACCCAACCAACCCTCTTAAGTCAAGTATGTTGTAATGCTGCATTTAAAAATGTACTAGTCAGAATATTTTGATAAGGATGTGGTTAAAGATATGAGCCAAGAAAATACAATATGTGACAAGTGATTACAACAATGACCAAACACACTTAGGGACTCCAAGTTATTAAATAAATCAAGAAAACCAAACGTACATTTAAGGGAACTGAATAAAATACCATAAATCTTGGGTTACCCCACCTCAAAACATAAAAAGTTGTTAAAATCCCTAGACAAGCTCATGTACCAATTCCCTGGGGTTAGTCCTTTGGAAAATGATGGATTTTAGAAATATCTCCAGGTGGATTTTTTAAAAGATGCATACATACATAGGAAGGGAAGATGGTAATAGTGAAAATATGGAAAAATATGCACCAAATTGTTAACTGGTAGGGTGAGGCTATTGAGGACATTCACTTTCTACAACAGATATGTATTATTATTTCAATCAGGAAAAATTTAAGATTTTTTAAAAGTAGTTTATAATTCGTGGAAATTTCTAAGCTCCCACAAACACAATATTTGAAAGTACAGCAAGGAGAAAACTCAGATATTTTACAGAGTTTAGGAGTTTAAAGACAGGAAAACTATCAGTAACTACAATGTACATGTAGTATTTAAATACGTTAGTTAATTTTTGGAATTTAATTGTATTCTACCCACTTATAAGCCATCACAATAACTGATCATGTAATTTCTCTCTCAGGAGTCTAGAAATTTCCCTGTGTGTTTAAGAACAGGATTGCCTTCACCAAAAGTTAGAAAACACAGTAATGGGTTTAAGGTCACTAGGTTCTGAATTCTCACCACTGAAGTCATTATTTTTCTTTTCAGTAAAAGGTGCAGGGTCTCAATATCTGAGACGGAGGGGATGAGAGGACAGAGAGGGAGAAAGAGGCAGGAAGACATGCAATCACCATTAACATTCCAATGGCATTTTTCACAGAAATAAAATAAACAATCCTAAAATTTGTATGGAACCACAAAAAACCCCAAATACCCAAAACAATCCTGAGAAAGAACAAAGCTGGAGGCACCATGCTCTCTGATTTCAAACTATGTTACAAAGCTATAGTCATCAAAACAGTATAGTGTTGGCATGAAAACAGACACATAGATCAATGGAACAGAATAGAGAGCCCAGAAATAAACTCACATATGTGTGGACAGCTAATTTTTGACAAAGAAGCCAAAAACATACAATGGAGAAAGGAAAGTCTCTTCAATAAATGGTGTTGGGAAAACTGGACAGCCACATGCAAAAGAATGAAACTCGACACTATCTTACACCATACACAAAAACCAACTCAAAATGAACTAAAGATTTGAATGTAAGACCTGAAACCATAAAACTGCTAGAAGAAAACGTAGATGGTGAGCTCCGTGACATCAGTCTTGGTGACGATTTTTTTGGATCTGACACCAAACACCAAGGCAACAAAAGCAAAAATAAACAAGTGGGGCTACATCAAACTAAAAAGCTTCTGCACAGCAAAGGAAATCATCAACAAAATGGAAAGGCAACCTACTAAATGAGAAAAAATATTTGCAAATCATATATCTGATAAGGGGTTAATATCCAAAATATATAACAAACACACACAAAATAGCAAAAAAACAATCTGATTAAAAAATGGGCAAAGGATTTGAATAGATATTTTTCCAAAGAAGACATGCAAATGGCTAACAGGTACAGGAAAAGGTGCTCAACATCGCTAATCATCAGGGAAATGCAAATCAAAACCACAATGAGATATCACCTCACACCTGTTAGAATGGCTATTATCAAAAAGACAAGAAATAACAAGTGTTATTGAGGATGTGGAGAAAACAGAACCCTTGTGCTCTGTTGGTAGGAATGTAAATTAGTACAGTCACTATGGAAAACAGTATGGAGGTTCTCCCAAAAATTAAAAATAAAACTACCATATGATCCAGCAATTCCACTTCTGGGTATTTATTCAAAGAAAATGAAAACACTAACTTGAAAAGATATATGCACCCTCATGTTCATTGCAGCATTATTTACAATAGCCAAGATATGGAAACAACCTAAGTGTGCATTGATGCATGAATGGATAAAGAAGATGTGCTCTCTATATATATACAATGGGATATTAGCCATAAAAAAGAATGAAACCTCGCCATTTGCAACAATATGGATGGGCCTTGAGTGCATTATGCTAAATGAAATAAATCAGACAGAGAAAGACAAATACTGTATGATCTCACTTATGTGTAGAATCTAAAAAAACAACACCCCCCCCCCCGCCCCCGGCAAAAACAAGCTCATTGATAGAGAGAACAGACTGGTGGTTGCTAGAGGTGGGGGCGGGGAGGGGGGGTTGAAATGGGTGAAGGGGGTCACAAGGTACAAACTTTCAGTTATAAAATAAGTAAGTCCTAGGGACGTAACGTACAGTATGGTGACTATAGTTAATAATACTGTATTGCATATTTGAAAGTTGCTAAGAGAATAGATCTTAAAAGTTGTATCACAAGAAAAAAAAACTTTTTGTAATTATGTATGACAACAGATGTTAACTAGACTTATTGTGGTGATCATTTCACAATATATATAAACATTGGATCATTATGCACGTTCCCCTATCCTATGCTAAAAACAAAATAAATAAATTTTATTTTTAACCATCTTTTCTTCTCTTCACCGTCAAATGTCTCCAAACAGTATTTTTCCACCGGTTACTCTCACTTTGCCTCACATTAGAATCACCTGGGGAGCTTTTAAAATCCAGAGGCTCTGGCTGCACCTCATACCATAAGATTACCAGGGGTGGACCCCAGGCATCAGGAT